CATTCCTACTATTTAAGTGCTTCCAGGAATCACTGTCTTTGATGAATTAGCTCCACAAACTCAAATGATAATTTTGTCAAAATTCTGTTTAAAACACTAAAGCTTATCTGAGACACTCTTGAAGACTTTTAATAACGAAGTCAACAAGCACCATTTTGTAATTTAAAGAGAGACCTCATCACTAGTGTTCCTTCTAAGCCAGGGCTAACTTTGGAAGCCCCAGAGACCACAATGATACTCACAGCACATGCCAAAGGCCACAGTTTAAGTGTGGTTGCATATACATGGAAATATATATGCAAATAAATACAAATAGCTTCTTTCACACTGACAGGCATGAAAACAAAGATTAAGGCAAGACTACACCACATGCAGGCCCCATTTAAGCCAATTCTGCTGATATTAATAAAATGCACTAGTTACCCCATTTTCCACCCGATTTTGCACTTTTAATGAGCAATGACAGTCCAGAAATTTAACTACTAAAATGTGTATCAACAAAAGACCATTATATTGATGATGCCTTTTCTGTTTTGGCTCCCACCCGCGGGCCACATGTTGAGCCCCACTTAACCCCAAACTGCATTGCAGGACACTTGTGGGCCCGCGAATTGAGTAGCCTTGCTCTAAACTGTGCAGCAGCACAGATTCAAAGATGATTAATCAGCGAGCCCAGTCAGTCAAATCCCTGCAAGGATCCCTGAGCTTCTTATTGGGCGGAGCTGATTAATCACCTGTAAAGCAGTGATGCTGCTTAGAGGGAACACTGCTCACTGCCAAGAAAAAAGATGGCAATGAAATGGAGGAAGAAAACAGGTGGAGATGCACGTAAGGGGGGCAGACGTGGGCACAAAGCTCTTTTCTACACAAAGTTGGAGAAAATATTTTAAGACATTAAAATTATAGCCTATATGGAATACACCTGTGATTTGAATAGGCAACAGATTAACTAGGTAGGTGCTTTCAACTAATATGACATATATTTTGCTTAGGAACAGGCATCACAAGATAACACCACATTTAAAGGCAGAATCACCTAATTCCATTTTATGATTTGTCCTTATTCTCTGCTGTAGAATTATCAACAAAAACAAAACTGAGACATTATTAATAAACATCCTCTGAAAAAAAAATTCAGTTTTTCATCAAGAAACAAGATATACCGAGAAACTAAATGCAAAATGCAACAGCAAACTCGCTTTCTGTGTAATTTTAACTTTTGGGAGGATTCCAAAGGCAAAAAGTCAGCAAGAATTGCCAACTTAAAAACAGCAAATAAGCTACGTAGTTGCTTGCCCTGTATATCTTTTCAGCACAATTTGGATAAAACAGCATTAATGCCAGCTTCTTAAGCCA